TCTTTCTTTCTTTCTTTCTTTCTTTCTTTCTTTCTTTCTTTCTTTCTGGTACCTTAGAGTCCTGATAATTGTCTGGACTAGTCTTTGCAATTTTCTTGGCAAGATTTCAGAAGTGGTTTGGCATTGCCTGCTTTCTGGGGCTGAGAGAGAATGACTGGCTCAAGGTCACCCACCTTACTTTGTGCCTAAGTCAGGACTAGAATTCATGGTCTCCCAATTTCTAGCCAGGCAGCTTAACCCCTACAATGAATTAGCCACATCTGTCATTGCATCAATACTCTAGATCAGTGGTTTTTAACCTTTTCTTCACTACTGTTCCTTTTAAATATGTTTTGTGGCCATGGACTATGGCCATAGACCCCCAAGACTTAAGATTTAAATCAAAAGATTTCTTTAAGCTTTCGTGGACCCCCCTGTGGTGAAATCACAGCCCCCAGTGGTCTGTGGACCAAGATTGAGAAACACTGCTGTAGAATTAAACAGAAGACTTACTTATTTGTGTTATTAAAAGCTCATCTTTCTATAAGATAGAAATTTGCTTGTCAGAATTGTTATTCAGTTTTCCATACTTACTAGATGTATCAAAGGATTGATGAAATGCTACAGTAATTTTATTACCTTATAGAATTTAGTTGTAGATGACACTTTCTTCAGGTCAGGTCTCTCGAGATCCTCACTAATAGCTTCCTCTGGGGGCTGTGATGTATTTTTTCTTAGTCGTTTTGACTTGCATTGTATTTCGGTTAACAAACCTGAATATTAGAAAGTGAATGCATATAATTTGGACAACTGACACTTACCAGTTGATAATCTGACAATTTATCAAATCAGTTGGTAATTTGACAATTTATCAGTTGGTAAATGACACTTATGTTGGTAATCCCCAAAGTAACAAATAAAGGCTCATGTGCAATTACAATCTCCTATAGCATCTTTTTTTATTAATTCATATGTTCAGGTAAAATTGTCCAGGGGTGGGTGCAACTACATCCATTCCTAGACAAAGTTGGTTTAGCAACTAGGATCATATGTCTCCAAATGCTGCTGGATGATCCTTCCTATCACTCTACATCACAGGCAGAGGTGGTATTCAACAGGTTCTGACCAGTTCTGGATAATCGGTAGCAGAAATTTTGAGTAGTTCAGAGAACCGGCAAATACTACCTCTGACTGGAGATTTTACAGTATCCTTCCCCTGTCACTCCCCCAAGCCACACCCATAGAACTGGTAGTAAAAAATATTTGAATCCCACCACTGATCACAGGTGTCAAACTCGATCATGTTATGGCCCGGATCATGATGTATTGCGATGCTTTTTGCCTTTGTGGAGCTGGGGGGGGCGTGGCCTGTGTATGACGTATCTGGCCCGTGGGCCACCAGTTTGACAGCCTGTTCTACATATTATATTAAAACTTAGACAATTCCAAAAATACATTCTCAGTAAAATTGAGGAGATATTCACTTACTGACATTATTTCAGAAAATTATCTGTTTTGTCTATTAATACTTGAAACATGGTGGTGAAAATATATTTGTAAAGTTATTGCCAAAGCTGGATCTATGTCATTCCTCCCGTACAATTGTTCAAAGGAATATAGCCAACTTCTCTATTCAGAATATTAAAAATTCAATCTTACTATATCAGTTTAAGAAGATAAAATACTGCTGTCCAAGAATACAGAAATGATGATGCAGGACTATAGCAACCATAACAAATGGAATACTTTTGTGTGTGTGTATACATATACATTTTTTCACTTGGGACAATGAATAAAAGAGACTAAATATTGTTGAGGAAGATATCTATGAAAATGCTTAATTCAGCAATGAATAGTTTTAATATCCTGTATATTGTAAAATCATGCAACATAGAAATCAAACTTCCTCTATTACTGAAAGAAAAGGAAATTTAAGGGATTAAAATAACAATTCCACATAATATCTCTAAAGATTAAAATCGCATTTAGAACCACAACATAGGCACTAGACTTAGTGCTGACTTTGATGGTTTCAGCACCGGGCCCTCAGCAAACTGGCATTCTCCAGATGTGTTTAATGTAAATCACATTATGAATACTATCAAAGAGTGACAGTTGCTTCATATGCTAGAGGAAAAAGACATTTCCGCATATCCATGAACCAGAAAACACATGGTATACATATACCAGGGCCAGATAGCTTATTTCACATATTCAGGTGGATGTCTCTTGTTCTAAATAACAGTACTGAACAGAACAGCAAATATCTGACAAATGGTTCTATTGTATTAGATTTCCCCCCAATTTTTACTGTATTGTTTTATTTGTTTTATTGTATTACAAGAACAGTCATATATCCTTCTAAACTATGTAATAAAATCTCAGAATTATTTCCAATGACAAGCTTGTCTTTCCAACAAAGCATGAACCCGATTTGAGTGAGGATCGCTTTCTACTTCTGAGCTAGAAACGTATCTCTAACTGCACAAAAACTTGTGTAATCACTAGATCATGATGATTCAGGAATGCACAAATAAAGTAATAAAAACCGCAAGATTGCCCACCTTTTTTGCAGTATAGCAACATTTTACAGGAATAATTGCAGTACTTTCTTATGAGTAAAGGCTCAAAGTCCAAGGCAATGTTAATTTCAAAGAGATCACTTTGCTTAAAGTCAATTTACAAAAAAGTTACAAGTTTAACTATCCGGCAAACCTTGAAGGTTATTTTTAAATTAAAAATGAACAGCACCACTCCTTATTCAGAGGTAGTTACAGCTTGCATGATGTTCTCATTCCTGTACTTTACAAGAATCTGCTTATGTTTAAATTATGAGTTATATGACTCTCATAGTAACAAAGTACAAGTCTCCATTTCAGAGGGAGATTTAAGTCACAGTGCCTTATTGCTGGCCTTTGCTTCACTCAAGACTATCTGAGAAAATGGCCAGCTGGTTTGAAAGTTTCCATTTCCTTGGGCAGCATTAGTTACGTTGCCCTATTTTTTCCTGTTTATTTTTATTTATCAGATACAAAATTAGTACTGAAGATACACACATTCCTTCTTTCTCTTGGAACAACCTGACTTTATTTTTAAGAAAGCTTATTTTTATGGCAAGCTTACAAATTCATTGAGGGGTCTGACTACTGTGGCAGCCTCATTTGTTTGCCTGCTTGAGCACCAAGGGCAGAGAAGGCATATAACAAGATCTTTGCTTTTAAACTGACAGCATAAGGGGATCAATTATAGTATATTTTTTTCATTAATTCTGAAATGCTAATACAGTCTATTGTTTTCTGCAAAGCATGAGAGTTGATATAGCATCTTGTGGGATCAGATTGGAGAGGCATATTAAAAATTCAGAGTAGATTAATTTCCGGTGTGAGCTTAAACTGGTTTGATCCTGCAATTATGCTAAAATAGCTGAAGCTACCAGTAGGAAAGATCCAACAGCTTGAATCCTACCCTTGCATGTTTACAAAACACAACACATGCCAAGAAAGTAAAATTTAAAAATACAATTATAAGTCTAATGTTAGTTAAGTAGAATACAAACAATGAATCTGATCTTCATTTTTTTTCCTAAACAGATGAATTAAAAGATCATATTATCTTTTCCTAACCATCTATAGCCCCTATATTATATTTAAAAAATGAAAATAGCTGTGTACATACATTCTGCCAGCATTCCTACTGCTTTGCACTTTTGTAGACGGCACTTCTGACACTTTCTCCTCATATACATGTCCATCTCACAGTTTCCTCCATTTTTACACTTGTATTCAGCATTTTTAGTGATACTCCTTCTGAAGAAACCTGATGTTATATGCAAAATAATATTTCAGATTTAAAACCAATACTAAAATGATTACTATATGAATACCACTAACTTAAGATGCTTCTAGTTGCACAAATGTGTTTTATAGATCACAGTAAAAGTTTTATCTAGGCTGAATTTCTAACTTGAGTATAATCGGTTAGTTCTCAAATATTGCATATTCTGTTATCATCTAAGTGGGTTTATATGTCATACTAAGTTATAGTCAACTTTACATATTTTGTTAACCCATAAGCCATCGTTTACCAACTGCATAGGCTGAAATACACACAGTATACTGCATCTAAGTCATGGTGGTTTATCATGCTATTTGAACCAGTTTGGCTTACATGTTGTACTGCATTGCATGTTGTATTTCATTGCAATGTAAATTTGTTGGCCTTGGCTTAGGGCAGTGGTGGTGAACCTTTTCTGCACTGAGTGCTGAAATGGGAGCATGTGCACCCGTGCCAGAAACAGGAAGAGCAGCTCCATGGCGTATGTGCGCGGGAGCACCAGAAACTGGAAGCTCAGCTTCCCAGCGCACATATATCCATAGAATAATGTGATATATCTATATATGCATAGAATAATGTGATATATGGAGCACACATCTCTCAATCTTTCACTTGTATGACATATGGAGTAGACAGTTGTACCAGATTATTGCATGATATTAAATACAAAAGCTATTCCAGGTAAGGAAATTTTCTAGTGCTAGCAAGATAAATGCACTAGAATGGAATTATAAGATCAAAACACCTGCCCTGGAGGGTTGGGAGCTTTGTGCCCTCCTGACTTGATAGTGAAGCAAACCTACTTCTGAACCTTTTGTTAAACAGTGAATGATCTTGTCACATAGTTCCATCTGTTGACCTATCTGTAATCACACAACCTTATCATGGTAATACTACTGACAGACATTTATGAATCTAAACAGTATTTCTCAACCTTGGCAACTTTAAGGTATGTAGACATCAGTTCCCAGAATTGGGGGGAGGGGGGAAGAGGGGTCTTAAAGTTGCCAAGGTTGAGAAGATCTGAACAATGACTCTACCTTTAGATAAGTAGATGAATTCTATATAAATAGTTTGCTCTATTTTTAAAAACTTTTCCTACCTTTGCAGCCTTCACAAGTCAGGGCGTTATAATGGTACCCAGAGGCCTTGTCACCACAGACAACACACAGCTCTTTTGTTCTTCCAGAGAGTAGACCCACTCGAGATTTCTTGGCTACAGGAATGTCTACCAGATCTGTCTCCTTGGTTTGTAAGTTATTAGAGGGCATTTTTCCAAGTTCATACATTGCAGGAGAATGCCATTCTTCAGATTGTGGAGGATAAAGACTAACACTTGAATAATAAGGTGGTAATGTGATTGGAGGTTGCATTGGGCAAAAATGCATAGTGTTGTACTGTGAGTAGGATGACACATCAGTATCTTTCACTGCAGAAATCATTGGATCCGGATGTATACCTCAATAAGAACACAAGATATATTTCTAAGTCAATCTTCCAGGAACAGTTATTTTCATTCAAAATAATCATTGTCATTTTCTTCTTCTTGTACATCCTTGCAGTGTATATTAATGTTCAATTATCCTGAGCTGAAATTGCTCGGTGTGCTTGGGTGGGTCTAATTATAGTGAGACCTTGGATTAACAAATTTGTGATATGAAGTGGATGCATACTTCATTTAGACAGCTCCCTGATTTTATAGATTAAATAAGGATGTTGCCCTTTATACTGAGTTTTTACTGAATATGGCAGTGGTTTTGTCAATTACATACAGATTATGGATATTGATGAAAATGACAGATATGAATTTAATAGACATTTCACATTAGTAGATACTCCCCCCTGAGTGTTCTATTAAACTGAGATTTTACAGCAGGGGTCCCCAACCTCCAGTCCATGGACTGACACTGGGCTGCAGCATGCCAGAAACCAGACCACGCAAACAAGCAAAGTCCCATCCACGGATGCAGGCAGCACATGAAACCACGCCCCTGTCGGGTCCGCGGAAAAACCTCTCTCCACAGAACCAGTCCCTGATGCCCAATAGGTTGGGGCCACTGTTTTACAGTATTGGATCTACAACATACATTTAAAAAAAAAATTAATGTGTTTCTTTTTTCTCATTAACTTTGCTGGATCCCCTTAATGTGCTCATTCTTTTTAGATTTGGTTGGGCGTCTGTGGGTGTATATATAAACTTTATGTAGGAAGAAGTTGTATATACCGCATGAGGGGACTACACATATACAACACATATGCCAATTAGTGGTGGATTGTAGGGCTGTGGTAGGGACTGTGGAACAACTTCTATACTGCATATGAAACTTTTCCCCAGGATTCAGAGGCCTGCTTTTCCATATAGAAGGCACTCTTTAAAAGTAGAAGGGAAAGATGTGATGGAGACTGTTCTTTTTCTCCTCTTCTGCCTAGGTGAGAGACTACTTAGCTTTCCAAAGAAAAGCTTCCCTCTTTCCCTGTCCCTCCCACTCCTACCCCAAATATATTTACATAGTGAAATAGAAATGGTTGTGTGTTTATATGATTCTAAATATTGAACAGTCAGTTGCTAAGACTGTGTGCGTACATTTGCTGATAAAAATCACATATAAATACTGCTAGATTCCAATGTGGTTATTGTGCTTGTATTGTGTGAACAGAGTCAGTGAGTTTGAAATTATGATTAAATGTTTCTAGTGGACTCAGTGCAAAAACAGTTGCTGTATTCAGTTTTCAGTATAAATATTTATAGGAACCATTTTAAAAGTACAGTGCTGAAAATCTGAAATCACTGCTTTCTTACAGTTATTTTTCTTTTCAATGAAAGCTGTAATATTCTGTTTTTACTAAATAATTCACATTCTATCTCTGTCTTCCTTAAATTTATCTGATACTTTAAAAAGCCATTGAAACTAGTAGCTTTGCTAAATACAACATTTCAATAGTTAATTATAAATCTTACATAGTGGCATTACAAGGATTAACAGATGCAAATTTCTTCAAGCAATATCAAATCAGATTATTTCTGATCTGATCTTGGTCATATTTAAAACTTTAAATCTTTGTTACATCATTTGTGTACATAAAGAACACTTTTCAGAGTAAGCTATGGACTGCAAAAGAAAGATTGACTGATTTCTAAAGAACCATTAAATGCTCCTAATGTATTAATTCATTAAAGAAGATTATGTAACAAATACAAGTTTTACCTAGTTAGTATATGATCTTGGTTATCCTTTTTAAATCAAATAACCATTGCAATAATGATAATAATATCAATCACAATTTGGGGGCGTGGCCAGGTTCAAGATCCAAGTGCTGTGCAACAGGGTGAGCTCTCATTATTTGCCCCAGCTCCTACCCACATAGCAGTTCAAAAGCATGCATAATAGGTACCACTTAGGTGGGAAGGTAACATCATTCTGTATGTCTCGGTGTATAGTCATGCTGGCCATATGACCCCAGAAGTGTCTTCAGATAATGCTGACTCCCTTGGCTAAGAAACAGAGATGAGTACCACCCCCTAGAGTCAGACATGACTGGATAGGGGAAACCTTTTCCTTATTAATCACAATATTATTCACAACTGTAATGTTGTGGTATCAAATTATCAGAAATTAATATACTTGAGTCTTAATATTATATTTCAATTTCCCAAACCAATAACTTTACATGTTTTAGAGTATTTTCAACCTACCTATGCTGATTGGGGTAAGATGACAGCTGTAGTCTAATACATCTGGAGGACACCAGGAAGGAGAAGATTGGTCTACTACAAATCAAAAATAAGAAGAACCAAAATCACCATATTAGAAATTATTGTGTAGAGTAAGAAAGTTCCAAGGTAGGTAGTTCCAAGCTGAATTAGTTATACATACAAAAAGAAATAATCGTATTTGGATGTCTTAGGTTATAAACTTCAGAGTCTAGGCATGGTTTCATTATAAATGCTATAAAATGATCTTATTTAGTATTAAGAATAGCAAATGAGTAAATTGGCACGATATCTTACCTTTTAAGAGCATACCAGTTTGACAATTTAAGCAGAGTTCCTGATTTTTTTTAAACTTTATAATATGGTTTTTCTTCTGCTTTCTTAACTTCCAAACCTCTAATCACAAATGATAAGTAAAACTTCCTTTGAGACCAGCCAAGGAAACAGTAGGGCAGAGGTTACACAGTTTACTGATTAACTTTATCATGAGAAATAAGTTGAAAAAATAGCTACTACAACTGTCCAGCCCAATTTGGTGACATTTAGAAAAATTGCATTCATAACTATAGGCTTGCCTGCTGTATTATTTCTTATGTATTATTTCTTGTTTTTCTAATGAATTATAAAAATACTGCTTGATAAAATAAGCCAATCAACCAATATGTTATAATCACAATGAAAAAATAATAATATAAAACTGAAACCATTACTAAAACTGCTGTGGGAAATGAACCGCTTCATCAAGATGCCTCATTGTAACAGCCAGCAAGTCAATATGACAGGGTTGTAAATAGGTCGACTGCTTGATATCAAATTATGTTTTCCTCTTGGATTTGCCAGAGTTGTTTCTAGAGAAGGAGTGCTCTTTGCCTCATGGGGAAACACATGTTATTCTTCCCCCTCCCCTCAAGATAAGAGGTCTATTGGGAGAATCACCTCTGTATTAAAAATATAATTTATAAGGAAGGGAATTCTGGAGGAGGGTTGGGAGCTTTTCATCATGTCTCAAGTTGGCCAAATGCTTTATGCTGTTGCTGGCCATCAATATGTTCCAATCAGCTTTTTGTGCAACACAGTCTTGCTACCAGCTGGGCTCCTCTCATCTCACTGGCCAATGGTTCTGAATCCAAGCAGAGTGATCTGCTGCCATGTGGGAATATACCATGTTAGCTGCCTGCCACTGACAAAAGGTGAGGGAGAATTTAACTCCTACCAAAAATAATCAGCATTCAGAAAAACATGGTGAGGAATACTGAGGAGTTACTGATCACCATGGCAAAAATAAAGATTATTACTTTACTATATAGCTGATTTGTTGAAGATATATGTCCAAATAATGCTAACAATGTAATATATGAAAAAAATCACTATTTACTCAAACTATTTTACTAGATTGTATTTTATACACTCTTAGAAAATCTTTTCTATTCTAAACCTGATGCCACCTGCTCATTGCTTGCAAAACCCATCTATTCTTATCTTTTGGCTAAGTTGATGGGATGCCCTTATATGCTGACAGCTGAAAACAGAAGCTGTGACAGACAGATTAAAGGAAGTATGAGGAAGATGGAAAGATAAACAGCTGAGGGGAAGAGGCAGAGAGAAGAAATAAGACAAACAATGAAAGAATGCAGAAGAATCGCAAAGGAAAAACAGTTAACATCCCCTCCCATCTTCCCCATCGACAAGATCACCACATTCTTTCATCTATAAGTATATTTTCAAACAAAAGAAAAGAAAACTTACACAAGAATTTGTTAATTTCTCACATGATATATACTTTGACTAAATGTAAATGTTGCTGAATGATGGGGAAAGACATTTTGACAGGGTCAAGAAATAAAATTGGTTGAAGCACAGAATTGATTGAAGAGAATACTTGTGGCTCAAGGTTAAATTCAGGGTTAAACATAAGTGGGGTCCTTGGTACTCGCTGATCTTAGTCGTTTTCGTTCGGATGTTTCATTGCCAAATTAGGTAACATTAACAAAATATTTCCAAGAAAACCACCAAGCTCAAAGAGCACCAAGAACCATAGAATGGTTAAACAGCTGAGGAGTCTGAGTTCTTGAATGCTCAGTAATTAGACTGTAACCTTTTTTATACTGAGCAAAGCCTGATTGATACTTATAATCCAGGATTTCAGACAGGAACTTTGTAGTGAAGGACACAAACTGGGATCTTTTTCTATACAGCAGGGGTGTCACGTCCTCATGTGATGTACCGTGACTTTTTTCCCCTTCGCTAAATCGGGGATGGGGTGGCCAGCGTGTAATGCATCCAGCCCGTGGGCCGTGAGTTCGACATTCCTGCTATACAGTATATGAGTTCTCCTATTGCATGACGTGGTGGCTCAGTGACTAAGAAGCTGAGCTTGTTGATCAGAAAGTTTGGCAGTTCAGCGGTTTGAATCCCTAGCACCACGTAATGGAGTGATCTCTTGCTATTTGTCCCAGCTTCTGCCAACCTAGCAGTTCAAAAGCATGTAAAAATGCAAGTAGAAAAATAGGGACCACTTTGGTGGGAAGGTAATAGTGTTCTATGCATCTTCAGCGTTTAGTCATGCAGCCACATGATCACGAAGATGACTTCGGACAGCATTGGCTCTTTGGCTTTGTAACGGAGATGAGCACCACCCCCTAGAGCCGGAAATGACTAGCACATATGTGCGAGGGGAACCTTTACCACTGAATTGCCTTATTTTCTTTCATTTTATTTATTTATTTACTGAGTTATTATTGATTCATTTTATAGCATTGACAAAAACTAACTGGGGGCATTTCTAAAAATAGTCAATTGGTTAAGAGAAATTTATTTATTTATATCCCGCCATTATTATTTTTTACAGATAACTCAAGGTGGTGAATATATCCAACATACCTCCTTCCTCCTATTTTCCTCAGAACAACAACAACCCTGGGAGGTAGATTGGGCTGAGAGAGAGTGACTGGCCCAAGGTCACCCAGCTGTCTTTCATGAGTAAGATGGGACTAGATTGACTGTCTCTTGCTTTCTAGGCTGGTGCCTTAACCACTGGACCAGACTCTCTGTTAGCGTTCTTTCATTATAAATATTGTATTTCTATCAATGTAAGTTCTGATTTACCAAATAAATTAGGACCTTCAGAAAGAGAAAATCCATCTGCTGAAGGTAGCTGGTGATGGTTGATCAAGTTCATCTCCGATGCCATAGAATCTTTAATGGAAGATTTTCAAATAGCGATGAAACCTAATAAAAATAATATTATTAGTTTAAAAAAATACAAAATACTGGGACTTGCTGATCAAAGTTGAATGCTTATGGAAAAAGAAATTTATTGTTATAGCAATTGTGACTGGAGCCCTTGGAACAATACTTAAAGGATATCTACAAATATTAAATTTATCAGATGTTAATTTTATCAAATAAGTCTGTCTTAATAATTCTTAGAACCTTGGTTAGGATTTGACAGCAAACAAAAACAAGCCTTACCGTCTTCCATGTGGTAATACTATAATGTGATTGTTTTCAAGCTAAGAGACTTTTAAAATGGATATACCTGCCTAAACTCATACTGGAAAGCGTTACTGTGAGATATTCATTTAGTCTTTCTCCATCCACAATCCATATGCCATTATCCATGAAGGCATTCTCAGTTACTGCTATTGTGGGCAGTGTTGAAAGAGAGCTGTTTTAGACTATGATAGCCAAAAAATTAGGAATTTGGTAGCACTTTTCTGACACATTTTATTTAAACATAATAACCTTTCAGGAGCTGTTGCTTACTTCCTCAGATGCTTAGTCCATACTGGTATAACATACTTCAAACAGATTCATATTTTGGTGGAAATATTCCACACTTTGAACAAACTCATCTATTCACTGCATTTATTAGCCTTCACCCATGTATTTAAGGTGTCTCACAGTCAAACATCAAAGTATTGGAAAATGCAAAGTTACTGGAACTATTGTGTTGGACATTAGAATGTCTGAACTGAGATATGATCTAACATACTGTTCACAGCAGGGGTGGGTTTCTACCAGTTCTGTCTACCTCTGTAGAACTGGTAGCTCTCAAGAGCAGCAGACATAGAACCAGTTCTATGTCTACTAATGTTTTTGCCCACCCACCCACCTAGGCTCTTACCTGATCTTTATTTCCTGATTTTTCAACTTCAGCTGCTGAACAAAGCACAGCTGCAGTTAAAAAAGCAGGAAAAGAGGACTGTTTCAAAGGCTGCGTCTCTGCACGCAGGGTGCTGATGATGATTTACAGGCGCGCGGCTCACAGTGTGCAGAGAAGCTCGTAAATCCCGAACCGGTAGTTAACTCTGTCGTATCCCACCCCTGGTTCACAGGCTCTGTTCTGATAATATTTATCTGACATTTCCAGCATCATGTATCTATTAATATTATATTAATATTGTATTATTACAGTCTATGTATTATAGAGAGCAATTCAATCATATTTATACATTTTGATCATGTGAACTACCTTTATCTCATTGTAAAGGCAAGGTAAACAATAAATTAGCAAATATTATAAAAATAATTTGAAGTACTCATTATTTCCAAGATATATATTTATTGATTCTTGATCAAGTAAACTCTATGAATATTTACTTGAGAGCCTAATAAATTCAACTGGCCATTGCTAAATAAGCATAACATTTCACTAGATATTAGTACTGCCATATTCAAGCTTTTTTCAATATTGCATCTCTAGCTGCATATGAACTACAATTCCAAACCTTTTGCAATCTTAGAAAAAAATCTGGGAGATGTAAACCTCACAAATCTAAAGACACATGATTTACAACATACCACTTTGGCCATGCACAGCTGTTTTATATTAAAATCATCAAATTAAAATTTACACAATTATACTATTACACAATTGTCTGTTAATACATAAGAAAATCCAACTTTCTTTGCACAACTATTTATCTCTGTGCAAGCTTTCTATTATTTTCCTTGTATCAATCTTTATGGCTTTTGCCTAAGAATTAAGGCCAAATTCTTATTAGTTGAGATTGCATCCTGAGTTTCATCACTATTAATCAAATTAATCTCACTTGGCTGGATTCACAAATTATGCCAAACCAAAGCCAGATAAACTACGTTATGGCTTAATATAATGTGTGAATTCAATCCATATATTTCAGTTTTGTTCACTGAAATTTATTGAAATGTCAGTCAATATTGTTAGAGTATGCAATCAAATTAATTCATATTTTTATCTTTGGACAAAAATATTCATAAATTAAGCATTTGCCTTAAAGCATTTATTAGAAAAGGTAAAAAAATGGCTACAATACGTAAAGTGACTCACTGTCTTAGATGTACTGAGCATTACAATCATTGGCTTTATTTGTGTTCTGATACTTTATTGCAGCCTCTGTGTATGGTGTTGTGCTGTTGCCCATATTTTTTAATTTTATTCTAAAGTAAGATAAACCCATGAGAACTAGTGAATAAAGAATGACACTCTCTTAAAAGTTAAATGTGTCCCTTTATCAACCAAAAATAATAGCATTGTCAGGTGTCAGGACTATGTGATTATTATCAGATGAATGCCGGCCTAGAAAGTCTGTGAAAAATGTTTATACTAAGAAAGTAAAGACAAGTTTTATATTTCCTCTTAAAAGAGAAATAAAAGCATATAATCAACAGTAATGATGAGGTACTTAGTGATATTAATGTCAAATTCTCAGATATTTTTTTTAAATATTGGAGGAATGAAAAAGGATTATCAGAACCACTCTGGTTGGTGGAAATGGCTATTATACATTGGAAGTGGCTATTATAATAAAGAAAAGTCATTCCGCTTTTGTCAATAAAATTAATACTGAAAAGAATACTGAAACATGATTTTGCATTGTCAGTCGCACAAGATCCTATGCTTGTGAATCCATAATAATAATTTTTTAATGTTTTTTTTCCCTTTCATATTACACACCATGGCAAAACTTCACATTTTGGGGATCTGCAGCAGAAATATAAAACAAATATAAAATTTCATCAGGACACTTGCTAAATTTAATGAAAAAGTGATCAAAAGCCAATTTGAAAGTTTATATAATTATTACTTAATATTTAAGTAATCATCAATATATTTTGACAATGGGAAAAACAGTGCTTTGGCTGTTAATCCCCACAGATTAACGCAAATTCTATTTTTTTAAAAAAAGAAGTTCTTTATCACACAAATAATAATGCCCTGTTTTTCACTTTATTGCAAATTCTTGTACTAATTCATGTGTTAGTCAAAACTTCCAATAAGACAAAATGAATGAAGACAACACAATCAAAATTATGAGTTATCCAAACTACAAGCATTAGTAAATAGCAACTTACATCTGATATCTTGCTGTGTTCATAGAATTGGCTGTTTTGCATCAATTGAAACTCCTAATGATTTTTCGGCAGGAACATTTTTGTTTTAATTTTCACTTTTGCAGGATTGTTCAGTGAAAACATGACCACTTTAGCTGATTTCCCCACTCTTCATTGACTCATTTCTGCAATAGACAAAGTTTACTCATTAACAGTACTTTCTTTCCTGTTCTATCTAAACAGGCTTGAAATACAGGAACTTTATAAAACTGGATATAGCACAGTTCCTGGGCAGGATATGTTGCTTATCGTGATTGGTTGAAAATTCTTATTGGGCAGTAACTAAAAAGTATGTTAACAAATGCCACTTTATGCTTCTTTGAATGAGACAACCAAAAGGTGTATGAGATCAAGGCCTAGTGGAATTCCAGGTATTGAAAAAGGCAGAAAAGTGCTAGAAATAGAGCAGCTATGTTTATGTCTATTTAACAACTATTTAATTGTAACCTAAATATTTTGAAAACAAGTTATTTATCATCACAGTGATAATCTGAGCATAAGATTTACCACCAATATGAATGCTATCCAGAAATGCCAATTAAAACTTCTACAATTCCCGTCCACATGGCCACAGCTAAGAAATGTACACATTCATCTTGCACTGAGATTAAGAAAGATTTAGCCTAATAAATGTGTCCTAACCTCCAGTTGGTGAATGTTTATGTACATTTATTCATTCTTGCAGAACTCTTTAAACTATTCTTGTATGAAATATGTAAAGCATATCCTTATGATATCAGACCATCATAAGGACATGGCTGAATCAAACCAAACATGGATTATTCCAAAACATAGTTGCCAATTAAATTCCAGGTCAACAAGACATGAACAAAGTAGTACCTTTTTACTTCAGATCTCAAAAAACTGTTATTGAGAACAGACCTTAATAGAACGACTTCCACAGAAATCTATACAATTCATAATTTTACAAATGAAATCCATGCATGGATTCATATACCCCCTCACACACCTGTTAGCATATGGGGAGATAAGAATTATAGGAAAGGGGGAAAGTTAGCTTGATAACAGTAATGCCTGTTTCTTTCTCATATGTAAACTGATAAGATGGAATAGATTGGAATAGAATGCAAAGAAATCAAAATTACATATCAAAATAACATTTTAAAATATATTTTGGCATCCATTATTCCTACCATTTTGAAACAACCCTCTATAATTTTAAATGTTGTCTGCTCTTACACTCTATTCTATTTTTTTTCATATGAATGCAATTAGTCTAAGTATCAGATAAATCCCAAATACTAACATAGTATTATCTTTTAAAATAAATTGCTATTTTATTTCAGATGTGCCTATTATAAATTACTGTTCCCATTACGCTCTTTCATTCCTTAGTCATTACATCTAATATCAGCTGCTTCTCAGAGTTTCTATGAGTTTCTCATCATGTGTACAATTGCTGTACACATAATCAAAATGTATATTTGCAAGACATTTTGTTTGCGATCTAATATATATTTTATGAATTATCATTAGGAAATAAATATGATAGTGGTAGTATGTTCCACATGTTAAAAAGTGAAAGGAAATATTGTGCAGAATGTTGGCTTGGTTTTCAAGGATAAAATCATTTACGACTTTCAAAAATAAGTGTAACATAAAATCTCTTTTAAACATTTACTGTATATGCTTATTTTATCCATTTAATCATTGACTTAACTATTGCTTCATCTCTTCAGTACTTAGGCCTTTAAAGTCAACAGATAATAATGTGAAATAAATAAAACCTTTGTCACCCACTGCTACATAAGATTTTACGTAACTCCCCTAAAAATAAGAAACCTTTGTACAGCCTGCCAGTAATAAATATTGTATCACAAAACAAGTAATGAAATCTGATTTGGAAAAACTGTGCTGCTTACAGTAATTGGCTAGATATTCAAGCCTCCTATGAAGGGAGCTGTTTAAGTCTGTGTTTTATCATTGTTATTATTGTTGTCTATCACACATTCTTCTATAGTTTATTTCCAGTTTTAAAAGTTGTGTGATGTTATCTTTGTTTCTTTCTGTGATTCTTAATTAATTTCAATACTATTCAAATTGTCTATTGATTCGGTGTATTCTAATATTTTGTCTGGAGTATTCTAGTCCAAGTGCCTTTTTTTTTTTTTTTTACTATTTATTCATTTTATATACCCATTTTTTCAAAGTCATTTTTTCACATATTGTCACTTGGCAAATCCACCCAAAGATGCAAAGGTGTTTTCTAGTTTCATGGCTTGATGTTGTTACACTAACCATTTCTTTTTAAAAACTTTTTTACATCAGTCTATAAGGAGACTCAAGGCATGTTATGAAAGTGATCTAGAAACAAGGAACTTCAAATCGTTGGTTCTATTATGAAGGCAAAATTACCCTACCATCACTGCATTTAATTTATCATGAAACAAAACTGAACAGTGGTTTTAGTGATTGGGATTGCAATGGTATTTCCAGTGCTGCATATTTATTTATTTAGAAGCATTTATATATACTGTAGCTGTTCACTTTAAAACCAACTCTTGATGGCTTACAACCCATAAAACAATATATACAATCATAAAATCAACCATATGACAACAACAGAAAAACCATATGGCATATAGTCCCCAGCATTGGCCACTTCCTCTTGGAGCAGAAGTGAATATTTCTGTTTTGGGGGTGGGGGGAGAAATATTAAGAAGACATGGATGTCTTAAGCATCTTAACTCTCCCTGTCAGGGAGATCAAGAGTTTGGGTCTGTTATACCTTGGCAGGGCTTCTAGGGCTCTACTATCTCCCTGGAACACTGCATTATGAAGCACAGGACACAAGACTCTGTGGTCAAGGATGAAGGCCCTTATGAAGAAAAGAACATTCTGGTGTGTAGAGAAGGTCAATGATAGAAGAGGAAATATATGATTCTTTGCTTCAGAGAGAATTGTTTTGGATACACACAACAATATTTGGTCTCATTCGGTCTGAATGAAGGTATTGGACTTGACTGTTATTTGTCTCACATAATTCAATCTTAGTTTAATAAATTGTGCTTTTTTGTATCCTTATGCACTTTAAACCATAGTGTGCTATAAATACTTGTAGTGGCTTTTAAACTGTGAATTTAACTCAGGTGATTGTTTGCAGTCTCCTTTATATTGATTTTCTTAATGAAAATTGGTACATTTCTATTTATATTATTCAGAGTATTGGATTGCAGGATCCAACAGGATCCTGGGATATATATATATTTACCTTCGTTCGTGAGAGTACTGGATGTTTTACCATATATGTGTGTGTGTATGTGTGTGTGTGTAACCGTATTAATTCTTGAATAATCTTTCCACAGTAAATAACCCGTATGTTCACATTGCAACTCAGCTAATTGCTGCTTTGGCTTATCTTCATTATTTCCTCTCCAGAAGTCTAAGAAAGAACAAGCTTTGATCCTCTTATATTTGACATCCTTTCAAATATTTAAGAGTGGTATCATGATAGTATAGCCATCACTTTCCCTTTCCCTTCATTTTTCATAGAGCTGCTTCTATTCCCCTGATCATTTTTATTGCCCCGCCTTTCTCTGAAACTTTGGGGGTCTAATCAATGCAGAATACTTTCAATGGAACTTTTAAAGTGGAATTATTATTTCTTACCATTTGGAAATTATCTTTATGTTGATGCAGTCTAAAACTGGAGTTGATTTTTTTGCAATGATAGTGCTGGCTCATATTCAGAGTGCAAAAAATGGTTATCCATCATTTCTGATTTTTCCAAAGTTTTCAATTTCCACTATATGTAGGACTATCATCTAGTTTACAAACTCTTGACTGAAGTTGATTTCAGAAGGCCATTATTATAGATTACTTTTGAAGAAAGTAACAGGTTCAATTCTATCGTGGGAACTTTATAAAGGTAACCCAGAAAACATTAGGAAAATTGAAGATGTTTCCTCTAAAGAACTTCTGATTGACTCAGGTGACTAGGTCCACATAGTTTTCTTGGCAGAATTGTGGCAGTAGTTCTGGAATGTTTTTGGCTTCCCAATTTAATCTATAGCACTGGACTTTCCTGATAATTTTCCATCCAAGTCCAACCCCGCTTAGCCTTTTGGAGCAGTGTCAAGATCACCTGGGTTCTACCAAATGCTGTCAATCTATTATAGTTAGGACTTAGCACATTTTCGTTATGCCTGGTTTGCGTCAATTGATTAAAAAAAAACAGGGCATAAAGAAGCACCTTCCGATTTTCATATTGTAGAGAATATTCATTAATGGTGCTTCATTTCACCATAGCATGGTAGGACAGATCCCCTTTACCAACCAGTCCTAAAAAACAGATAGACCTGACTGATGAGACATTGCTACATAATGTAAAGCTGTACATTTGTACCCAGAAATTATTGCCATTACCTTCAATCTACATGAGGGAATATAGGATGGCAGCTTTACTGTATGATCAGTGTATGAGCAATTCAAAAAATGAGCAAACTGTATCACTCACAATGAAACTTTATTAAAGGCTATATAACAATAAAACGAAGATTGCCATCATTTATTGTGCAGTGATAAGAAGTGTGAGTACTTTAAAATATTTGGCTATACAGTGCATCCATTCTGGCATTTATTAAGAGACTTGTCATAAAGTAATTGACAGTCCAAGAGATTACTGAAAAACTCCTTGAGGCACTACCTTAACACAGTTGTGGGTTTGTGTCTTCTGAGAATGATGAGAACTAGAACATTTCAAGCTGGAAAATAAGATCAGCAAGCAAGCTAAAATCAGATGCCAGAAAGTTAGAGCAGAAAAATATTATCTGGAAACAATAAAGATTAAGGAAGCACTGGAAATAATAAAATAGAAAATAACTACTATAGTCGAGAAGATCACCAGGTATGAAACTTGAATTGCATACTATAGGCAGAGTCTTTAATTTGAATCAAATCAGAAACATTTCCACCAATCCATTAATGGAGAGACTGCAGTGAACCAGCCAATACCTGACAAAGAAGAAACAATGCAGTTCTGGATGCAGCTATGGCACAACCTAAGGAATTATAATAAGAATGCAGCTTCTATAAAAGAGATGAATAAGAGTTTTTTAAAAAACTGAAATGAAAGAATGTGTGATAACAGCAGAAAGGGTGAACAAAGGGGCAATGAAGATCAACACCAAGTGAAGATGA